AAAGTGCTTCTTCAAGTCTATCCTCGTATGCTTCTTTCTCCTCTTCCCTTTTTCCTTTGGCAACATAATTGTCTTGATTATGCCTATAATATTTGGAATCATGTCTGACTTTCCAACAAGTATAGCACTAGCTTTTTTTTTTTTATTGAAAGGTTTTACGAGACTCACCTTGCTCATTATTGTGAGGTTGTGGTCAAGACTCTTTATTATTTTGGGGCTTTTTTGAACCACGATATCTTCCTCTATCATAAGAACTCCTATAAGAATTAGTAAACTAGACATCACTTCGTTCTTTCCCTTTCTTTAAATAATTGTTTAACTCCAATTTTCTCACGTCAAGTAGTGCTTCCTTATGAAACAATAGGCTTATAGCCTCTTCTATGAGTGGCTTGGATTTTTGAATCATCACTCTCATTGCATCAAACTCGGTCCTTAGGTTTTCAAAGATGATGCCAACTTGAGTGTCATTCTCCATCTTAGCGCCAATTTTTTTCAATTGATTACAAAGATCTTTCACTTTTCAAGAAAAGTTTGCAATGATGCCATTACTTTGCTTATATGCCTGTAATTCAACTTCCATGAATGCCTTCTTTGTACCGCTTGCCTGTTCATGCACAGCAGCTGACCGATCCCAGACTTCTTTTGCTATTTCTACAATCTTCACATGGGAAAACATATCAAGTCCACATGAGATCTGAATTACATGTCGAGCCTTTATGTTTCTTCCATGACACAAGTCTATAGTAAGCAGTTGGTCTAGGTTCAATGTCATTGACTACATCCCATAGATCTTGCCCTATCAAATAGCTTCTCAGCCGCACTTTTCAATCTTTCATATTTCTTTGCGGTTAAAACTTTGGGATCAATGACACTTGATGTAAACATAGCAATATTTCTTTTTCCTTTTTTTTTTTGTTTGGTGAAATCCTGGACATACCGGTGCACAAAACAATGCCTAGACCTGACTACTAGCCAAATAATCTATAAATACGGTGAGAATGGTGGTTGAGTATTATGCCAACTTGAAAGCTTGTTCCATTGCTTTGATACATGATGGAGGAAATAATCTATAAATACGGTGAGAATGGTGGTTGAATATTTAGCCAACTTGAAAGCTTGTTCCATTGCTTTGATCCAGGATGGAGGAAAGCCATGTGAAGAAAAGATTTTGATAATCTTTAGGGAGAACGTATGGGTAATAAGTTTAGATATGTAGACATCTCATTTTTAAAACTGACAAATTTTGTGATATTTTTTAACCATTAGAACCACAATATCACAGTAAACCCCTAGACCGTAGACCACCATAGTCCATACTGCCGGCTCTGTGATCCCGAATCTTGTAGAATACCCTGTTTTAGTAAAAAATCATTAAAAATAGCAAAACATCTGGTTTTGACCCAATTTTTTGCAGGCATCATCATAAGAGCCTGTAGATCCCCCAAAACTAGAATTTTGTGATTTTGGGCAGATTTGGTCTAGACGACACTCCTAGTGTCGCTCAGTCCAGACTGACCCAAATCCTACATAATACCCTATTTAAGTAAAAAAATATTAAAAATAGCAAAACATCTCGTTTTGACCTAAATTTAGGCAGGCAGCATCACAAGAGCCCTACATCCCCCTCCCAAGAACTAGAATTTACGATTTTGAGCAGATATGGTCTGGCCGACGCTTCTAGGGTCGTCCAGCCTAGACTGACCCAAATCCTACAAAATACCATGTTTTACTAAAAAAAAATCATTAAAAATAGCAAAACATCTTGTTTTGACCCAAATTTTGGTAGATAACATCACAAGAGTCCGTAGATCCCCTCAGAACTAGAATCTGTCAATTTTGAGCAGATTTGGTCTGGGCAACGCTTCCAATGTCGTCCAAACCCGACTGCCCCAAATTGGTAGTTTCCACATGCCAACACCTCCCGGATCATTTTTTTCCAGGTTCAATACCTTGACCATTTGGTCTGGGCGACACTAGGAGTGTCGCCCAAGTCTTGGACCACCAAAACGGCAGTCCGGGCCAGGAAATCTTTTGGTTATGGTATGTTATCTATTCCAGACGATTTTCAGCTTATAAAATGGTCATTTCAGGATCATTTTATATTAGAGACTCGTTAGACCTGATTAGTTATTATGCCTAGAAAAGCTTAGAGATTATGTAACCTGAGAAAAACCTAGACCTAGAAAAACCCTAGTTTTATGCTACTTGCAGCCCTTAGATCAAGAAATCTATCCAACCAAACCAAGGCCTGGTCAAAACCTAAAGAGAGACAAAGAGGACGCATGGCATAAACTCAGCCGGTCCTAATACGGGCGAGGCCTCGAAGCCTCGAGACTCCCGGGCCAACTGGCCTGATCTGGTAGATTTTTACTCTTTCTTGTATTTATTTTTATTTTTGTTTATTTTATTAGAATTAAATTAGTTTTATTGCTTTTTACATAGTATTTCATATATTAGATCAATGTTGGCTCTGTTACTTATCTAAAAGAAGATCTCTCTTCTAAGTAGATCTGACTTTAGATCAAAACTCGAGTGTCCCACTCTCTATCACACTTTTGAAAATCAATTTGTGGTACGGATCTGAGGGATTTTCTTGTATAGATCTCTCCTATTTGCATCGTAAACAAGACACCACGCACCAGTGCACGACTAATCGGGCGAGTCTGAGCTAGCTCTTCACTCTTGCGAGCCCGAGTATTCTCGAGTTGGGTGTCCAACTTAGAGATCTTAAAAAAGAAAATAAAAAAATTTATAAAATAAATCTAAATTTTAAAAAATAAATCTATTTGAAAAATATTTTTTTCCTGCGTTCTATCGTTTTGGAAAAGATTGGAAAGTATTTTGGTCGTGAATACTTCTTATTAAATGTTTTCCATCATTTTTAGATTATTTCAAAAATTACCCCGATCACAAATTGATTTTTTAAAATCTATTTTTTTTGCTAATTTGTTAATCTCATTTAGGTGTGTTTTGTTGAATCTTACTTTAAACTCGCATTTTCTAATTTTTTTGGATTTTTATTTTCTTAACACTTTTTTTTTGCCTAGCCAGTACGTGCCTGACTTGAACTGGTTATCCAAACCAGTTTCAAGTTACCTGAACTCAACCCATGGGCTGGGTTCTGCTAGTTCGTCAATAGAACATTGACATGGACATGGACATGTAAGCATATTTATCAAAACTAGACCAAACTTGGTTAAACTACCGACCAGTGCCTTGGCCAATCTGGTCCAGAGTAAAAAAAGAGGTTGGTATCTGGTCAAAACTAGTGTTTGACTTATTTTGGGCGAGCCGGTTGGCTGGATCAACTAGTTCGACTATTTTAAATAAAGTGGGCAACTTTTTTTTAATATATATTTTTCAACGATTATTTATATTTTTTAATACTTTTAAAGTATAGTCTAAAGAGTTCGATCTGTAGCGGAACCGATTTTGACTGGAATAGACCCCTCATAGGTTCAGTGGCCGATCCAATCCTAATAATACTACTTTAGAAAGCCCATGAGTTGTAGCCATGATATGTTGCTTTTTTATTCGAATTGATTTAATTTAAATCAAGACTTTATGTTTGTTTTCTCAACTCTTTTTTTTATTTGGATTGTATATTACGAGGCCGTTCATTTTTTGTACAAGAAGTCACAACTTTTCTTAACTATTGGATGTGAAATCTAACTTATTAAAATGTATCACAACATTCGAAAAATTTTGTTTTGGATTCTATTGACCATTGGATGTGAAATTGGGTGGTTGCATTTATTTCATTGATCAAGCCCAAAGTTCAAAAAAAAAATTCTCGAACTTTGTGATACACCCAACCTATTAGATTTCACATCAGATGGTTGTAAGTAATTGTGACCTCCCTGTACCAAAAGTAAATGATCTTATTTTATTTGCTCTGTACTTAGTAATCATATATTTTTTTACTGCATTTATGAGATTCTATATAGCAATGGGTCGGGTGGCCTTGTCAGGTATGGTAAACTAGGCCCTAATCTAGGGTCGAGCCATAAAATGTGGCCTAAGGGGAGGCCAGGGCCAAGCAACCACATCTTATGAGTGGGGCTGAGTTAGGTCTGAGACATGTCTAGCCTAGCTCAATCCTTTTTCTCTTTGTATCTTTATTTTTTATTATTTTATTTTTTTTGGCCATGCCAAGCCTAGATAGGGTTAGGTCTTTTAATTTCTTTTATTTTATTTAACCATACCTAGCCTTGATAGGGTTAGGGTCTGGCATAGGCCAAGGCCCCTTTGGCCCAACCACCCTAGGCTTGGGCTGGGCCTATGGGGATTAGGGCCATGACTGGCCCGGTCCAGGCCAGATCATTGCCAACCCCATTAGTACATTGTTATCTTTTACCCATGATGTTTAAATTATGGTTGCGGTTTGTATAAAGATGAGGCTCAAAACAATAAAATTAAAACCCCACTTTTAAATAGTGTAAAGAAATATGGTTTCAATACTAGAAATCTTGGTGATAGCCTTAAAATATATTTTCATCTTTAATTATAAAATTTGAAAGCTTAAAGAATAATGTAACCCAAACAGATCTATGAAAACTTAAAAGTCTTGAAAATTGACAATCCAAAACTGTGTTACAAGATGCACTATTTTCAAAACTTGAAATCCTCTTTTTACTAATGTCCATCCATCTTGATGTCGAGATAATCAATTTGAGGATATTTGAGCATCAAAATAATCTTTTTTAGTGAAATTTTTGAGGTGGGCTCTAATTTGGTTGTTTAGAGACTCGGCTCTATTAATTACACTCCTTTTTAAAGGGTGTTTCAAATCTAAATCGGTCCAAATTAGAAATCAATAACACAATAAAGAATTTCAAAACTAGTTCGGTCTATGCCTATTCCAGAATCCGATTGGTTTAAGTTTGAACCATTGTTTTGTTTTAAACCTTCCTTGGTCCCTTGTACAAGAGGTAACAATCAACCAATCAAGTGAAATAGGGCCTGACAAATAAAAAAAAATTTGAACTTTTTCCACAGAAGCCATAAACTAACATATCAATCTCTGTCTTTAAAAACTAAACCTCCGCAAGCAAACGGATAAGCTCACGAGTCATAATATAAAAAAATGAATCTCTCTCTACCTCTCACTCTACAGCAGATCACCACATACGGATAAACATAAGAATCCCTCACTTTCTCTCTCCTCATTCTTTATTAGACAAATCCCTCTTTCTCTCTCCTCACGCTTGGAAGACAGGACAAGGCCACTGAATACAGACGAATCCGGTATTCCCAAATGTATGCAGAAAATGGACGAGGAGCCATGGCCCATCTCCTCCTCCTCGCTGTCTTCCTTCCCCTCTGCACCCAATCACAGCCCGTCATGTCATTCCCTCCCCTCCAGCTCCGCCGATCTATTCCCTATCATCTCACCTGCAACGTCCTCGACTACGGGGCGATCGGTGATGGCCTCCATCTCGAGACGACGGCGATCCAGGCAGCGATCGATGGCTGTGCTTCAATCGGGGATGGCCGCCTTATCTTCCCCGCCGGCCAATATCTAACCGGAACCGTTTTCTTAAAATCTGGCGTTACTTTGGTTGTGGAGAAAGGGGCCGTTATCCTGGGGAGTCGACTCCAGAAGGATTATCCTGCGGAATCGAAACAGTGGTACGTTATTTTGGCGGAAGGGGCGGAAAGGGTGGGAATAACGGGCGGCGGCGTTATTGATGGTCAGGCGTTAAAGTTCGTAGAGAGATTTGAAGAGAGGAAAAACGTGATGGTTAGTTGGAATATAACGGGCGATTGTTTGGGGGATGAGTGCAGGCCAAGATTGGTCGGGTTCATTGGGTGCAGAGATGTGCACGTGTGGGATGTCAAGTTCAGCGAGCCCGCCTATTGGTGGTAAGTCAATCTCCCTACTTTCTCTCTCTACAATTTTGAACGAAGATTGCTCTCTCTCTCTCTCTCTCTCAATTGTTCTCTCTCCACACTCTCTCTCCTCTCTGCCTCTGCCCCTGTATGCAATGATGAATAATGCCTATGGCTATAGAGAACATATACTTAGAAGTGTTCTCGCCGTTTGATGAATGGATGGGCGGTGATGGTCTCTCTCCTCTCTGCCTCTGCCCCTGTATGCAATGATGAATAATGCCTATGGCTATAGAGAACATATACTTAGAAGTGTTCTCGCCGTTTGATGAATGGATGGGCGGTGATGGTCAGAGAATGGGGCCATTTGGAATACGAATGTACAATGAATATAGGAAAATTTGCATAAGGGGGCCATAAAATAAATGTAAAATTAGGACATGGTTAATATTTTTTACCGATTTTGCTGTGTTGAAGTCTTACTATTTTATTTTATTTTTTTATTTTACTTTTTGCAGTTTTGCCTCAGGTTCATATTAGCAATGTTAAAACTATTTTTTAACATATTTATTTTTATTTTTTTATGATAAATGGGGTAGCACAATAACCAAAATTGAAGAGTCCCATATCGAGGCCAATTTGACATTAGTAATGTTAAATGGGCCCTATATATTAATTTGGCCGAAGTATGCGGCAATTTGATGTTAATGATATTGAAGTGCCTTATATTTTTTTAAGAAAAATTAACACACAAAGTGATTCAACGTCAAGCAACATCAAACTGTCCCACACCGGGCCTTAGGGGCTTTCCGATTTTTGGGGTATCCTACAGCCCTAACGGTAACAAGAGTATATAAAAAAAACAAAATATAGATGGTTAAATGTTGCTAAGGGCCAAACTAGAATACGAAAACCAACAATAAAT